CCGTAGTGATTAGGATAATGGGAGGTTTTGTAATTTTGCAGGATATGAATTCTTTGACAGTTCTTGTTCTGGGTAAAGGTGGTGTCGGAAAATCATCCACCGTCAATTCTCTTATCAGCGAACAAGTTGTCCGTGTCAGTCCTTTCCAGGTACGGATTTAGTTTCCCTAAAGCTTCACTTGAAATTTGATTATATTTTTTGTGTGTTGGGATCAAGTAAGTGTAGTCATTTGAACATCTTCATGTTTTTGTATCTTCAATTTCTCAGGCTGAAGGGTTGAGGCCAGTGATGGTTTCAAGAACAATGGGAGGATTCACTATAAACATTATTGACACCCCTGGACTTGTGGAAGCTGGATATGTCAATCACCAAGCTCTCGAGCTAATCAAAGGGTCAGTAGTACTTTTAAAAAAGTCTCTCATATGAGAAATTCATTTTGTTTTTTCATTACTTTGCTTGGTTGAATTTTTGTTTCACAAGCTCTTCATTCATGTGATTAGATCTGCTTGTTCCATATGGGACTATGTCATTCGTTTGAAAACTGTTTGCTTATCGGTTTCTACTGAAATTGTGAATTATGAGTATCCAGTTTAAGCTAAATTTTTCTACAAAGGGTTTATTGTTCTGCTGAAGTTGTCCAAGTTGTGTAATTGTGTGTGACATCCCTTTTGTGTTTTGGATTTTGGGCAGGTTTCTTGTGAACAGAACCATAGACGTCTTGCTCTATGTTGATCGTTTGGATGTGTATAGAGTCGACGAGCTAGATAGGCAAGTTGTTCAAGCAATCACCCAAACTTTTGGAAAAGAGATATGGTGCAAGACCTTGCTTGTTCTGACTCATGCTCAGTTTTCACCACCCGATGAACTTTCCTATGAAACTTTTTCCTCTAAGAGATCAGATTCTCTCCTCAAAACTATCCGCGCTGGTTCTAAGATGCGAAAACAAGAGTTTGAGGTATGGGTATACATGAAAAAATTGTCTTACCATGTTTGGTCATTTGGGCAAGAACCAGTTCTCATTCTTTCACTGGCTTGTAGAATTCTGCAATTGCGGTTGTATATGCGGAGAACAGTGGAAGATGCAGCAAGAACGAAAAGGAAGAAAAGGTTTGGTTTTTTCGAATCTCTGACTTGACTCGATTTGGAGACTATTACAAAAAAAAACGCTTATTTGCTCTTGGTTTAGGTTCTACCGAATAGTGAAGCGTGGATCCCGAACTTGGTTAAGGCGATAACCGATGTCGCAACAAATCAGAGGAAAGCGATTCATGTAGACAAGAAGATGGTAGATGGATCTTACTCTGATGATAGAGGAAAGAAACTCATCCCTCTTATCATCGGTGCTCAGGTAAAAGAAAAAACACAATCGATAAGATTTTCTGTAGACACAATTTTGATTTACTGTCTTGTTCGAATTTGTTAAACAATTGAAATCCTTATTTGTACTTTTTTGCAGTACTTCATCGTTAAGATGATTCAAGCAGCGATAAGAAGTGACATCAAGGCAAGTGGAAAGCCACTCTAAGAGCTCTGAAGAACAGGGTTTTGTTGTGCCCAATCTAGGAGAGTTTTTTTTCTTTCTTTTAATCGATTTTATCCGCAGCATTTTCATGTTTCCGGCTTTATCTTGTCTGTAATTTAAGAAAATTTGTTCGAAGAAAAGATTGCATTTTTGATTTTTCTGGTTAAATAAAATGGTTGCTCCAAGTTCGGTTTCACACACAAAGAAACTCTTTAAGCAATTTAAT